TCTAACATTTTTTACTACTTATTCGGGACTATAAGGACACATATTAATCGAAATGTTGGCGCACTATTGTTCCACTCGACACATAAAAATTCGAGCTCGAATTGTTTGTTTGCTAAAACGAGTCGAGCTCGAGCACAGTATAAGCTGAAACACAAAGAGCATGTTTGTTTATAAAAAAATTTCAAAAAATTCTCAACATTTAACTCAACCACTTTTTTTAACTCAACTTTAACTCAACCACACTATCATCAAAACTATCAATATAATTAAATAATATCAATCAATCACTCATACACACCACATCAACCTTAATTCACTATTCATCCACTCACATTATCTTAACTAACCATCACTTCAAATATCTCTCTCCTTATTTTACATCAAATCAATTTTAATATTATAAATATTATTTTAATATACCCACTAACAACTAACTATACCAACTTTTCAAAATTAATCAAACCAAATCAAAAAATTTAAACAAAACCAAAATTTTTTATAAACAAACATGCTCAAAGTGTTGGGTTCGACTCAACTTGAATAATACTCCTAACCGTATTATGGTTGATAATAATAATCATCTCAACCCTAAAGATAGGATAACAGGAGAATGCTATCATCCCGTTACGGGATGGTTCCGTTGTATTTTTTAGCCATAGATATACATGTAATCTAGTGATGAGTAGTTAATCTAACGCTTAAAAACACAACAGAACCATTCCGTAACAGGATGGTAGCATTCCCGGGATAACAATATATATACACTAAATTAACAAAACTGAGAGTATGAAATTATAAGGATTTGTTAAAAAAAAAAAAAAAAATATNATTCCTTGTCCCCTCTAAATGCCCTATAGCCCTACACATAACTTCACTCACACACATACACACACAGTCTCTCCACCACCAACAGTGATGACACTTGGATTCTGTAGCGTCATCTCCACCACCGTTAATTTATTTAAAACCCCAAAATCACCGAAAAGCCTCTCCTCTCAACTTTATGATAGCTCCAAATAAACAACAACTAGTACAGAGCCCGTGCGATGCACGGGGTGCACAATTTTAAGGCTATTTATCCAGACTTATAATTATATACATGAATAAATAAAAATGTACGGAATATATATAGTACGTGACCCGCGAGATATATTTATTTGGAGAATATTATATTATAAGATGCAATATTCAATAAAAGTTTATAATACGCAAGAAATTGTACGATGTTCAATAAAAATTTTATAATATTCAAGTGGAGTCTTAAAGTCTCTTGTACATTAAGATTACTGACAAAATAATATTTTAATCAATGAGTTTCATTTCCTTGTAGCCAAATTGTGAATGTGATTTGAGGAGTACAACAAATCGATATATAGCTGACTTGTTTTTTTCATTGTAGTTT